GAGATGTAACTTTTGGCTCTAATTGCCCCCTAAAGCAAGAGCATAAAAACGTGTTAAACTCTAAAAGCTTATTTTGGGAGGTGAAGTAACACCTGGACTTTAAATATCTGACCTAATGACAACTTTAGTTCATTGAAAGAGTGGACCAGGAAGTCCCTACCTAGGTATTACCACGGTAAAAGGTGATACAGTAGTATTACAATCAGTATGAGTATTGATATATAATAGAATAATTATTCTCCCTTGAAACCATCAGTCTGTAGATGGAATTGTCTTAGGAGCCATCCCTTAAAAGTAAGTTTGAAAAATCTCAAGCAAGGAAGCAACCACCATTAAAATCATCAGCAGGGGGAAAAGAAATTAATCCAACCAGTTGAGGAAAACAAATTATAATATTGAATTTAGAAGCCAATAGGATTTGTAGTAAATGAGTAATTTGGGCCAATTCACGTCATAAGAATAACGCCCACTTGCCTTTAAATTATAAAGTTAGATGAGGATGTTAATCATAAGTTTTGGAAATGTGTTATAAAAGGGAAAGCAAAAAAATCTGACAAGAAAATGGCAGTACAGGACCTATCAATGAGACTAACTTAGTAAGAGGAGAGAACTTCTTCCAACCAAATGCTTGAGTTCTTTTTGGACGATTTTAGTAAATGCATCAGATTTGCCAAACAAAAATTTTTTTATAAAAGGGCCTAAATAATAATAATGATAATAACAACAATGATGAAGAAAAAAGTAGGAACTGATTATTCAGATGAAATTTCTGGAACTATTCGCTATTCCTACTGCAGTAGTTTGGAAGTACTTTTGGGAACCAAAGACTGAAATTTAACCGCTTACAAAGCCTTCCTTAGTGAGCTGCTAGAAATGAAATGAATGTTAAGTCTGTTGATACATCTCCAGTCCCTAAACTGACATAATGCAGGTACCAAGGGAAACACTGACTTCCCGCCCTGTGGGAGCTGACGGGAAACCACTGGAAAGGTGAGAAAGTCATTGGCTAACACAGGTTCATCAGGACAAACTGCACTGCTGTGGGTAACAGAATGCCAAGTGATTAAGAAAAAACTCCTCTGCATCTTGGATTAATTAGCATGTCGTTCAAGTATTTAAAGAATTCAATGACAGGCAAGCACTTAGAAATGATAGGACATGAGGGACACCGTCTTACCTCACCCTTGTACAGAATGTCTGACACTGGGCAAACGACGCAGGCGGTACCCGAACCAAACATCTCCCTCACCCGGCTCTCCTCCACGGCTGTGGTCAGGTCGTGCATGGTGAGGTACCTCTCTGACACCTTAAACTCCCCCTGTTTGAAATACAAATGAAAATAAATTTTTAAGGAAAAGACAGGCCAAAAAAAGCCCTCTGGTACTTTACATTCTTAATGAACTCAAATAATGCCACAACCATCCTTAGAGGGAAAGCCAGAGAGAGTGACACCATCTTATTGGGAAGCAGGCTGAAGTGCTAAGCAACCAAGTCCAAGGTCACAGCATCTCTAAATGAGACGATCAGAATATAAAGCACAGGATCAGCATTATAAGATAGATGGTATGTTTTCATACATACCTGCTTATTTTGCCTTTTGTTATCACGGCTAAAGTCTCACAAGTTGACACATCTACTTAATGTGTGTGCTAAACCCTATTTATCCTAAAAGAATATACTATTATAGAATATTAATAATTACAGCTACCATTTTATCAGGCACCCATTACACGCCACCTCCTCTAATTTTCAAGGCGGGTATTATCACCCCCATTTTACAGATGAGAAAATTAAGGTTCAAGGAGGTTGCGTGACATCCCTAAGGCCACACAACTAGTAAATGGCAGAAACTGGATTTGAACTCAGATCTGATCCAAACTGGCTCCAAATCTGGTCCTCTTTCTGCTGTGTCTTTTATAGAATAAAAACAAAGACTGAGTTTAAATATCTGAAATATTTCATTATTTTTCAAACACTGATAGTATATTTGGACTTTGAGAAATTATATTGTATGTTTTTTTACTTCCTATACTCACTGATCTATTGACTTTATAGCATTAATCCTTTTCCTTCTCTTTAGTGCCATATTAGGCTGAGTTTCATCACAGAATTATTGGTGTAACCTCTCATCGACTTCCACTGAACTATTTGAACATTTTATTTGCTCAAGGAGAGGAAATGGGAAAAAAATTCTGACGCTTTTAAGCTATGTTTAAACTATCTGTTTAATATTCATTCTTTAATCTGTTTAATTCTCATTCTCATATGTTAGTGGTTAAAGTTCAAAGTTTGTCAAGAGGCTTTTTGAGTCAAAGGCAACAAAGAATGGATACTTTTTCTGAAAAATATAAGAGTATGTTTTAAAATCTACAAATCCACAGCAGATGAAAGTGGAAATCACGGCCCTTGGCAAGATTCAGAACATTAGAAGAAGAAAGCATCGTGTTGTACGTGTATTTGGAAGGGGCGGAAAATATGCCTGCAGTAATAGAAATACGGCTTTTTGCAAGTTTCAGTTTACCTCTGTCTGCAATTTGCAATTACATTGTACACAGGTAAATAAATAAATAAATAAATAAATAAATAAATAAATAAATAAAAATTAAATAAATAAAATTCCAGAAAATCAGCCAAGTTAACTGAAAACAAGCTGAGTTCTGTGTGCTGGAAAAGAAAAACAAAAATTTCTTGTGTATAAACAGAATTGTTTTTCCTCTGTTCACCCTTACTTATCTTTGGACAATTTCCCTTGTCTGGCAAATAATGGTAACCCCCCACATGCCTTTTGGCATTTATGTCTCACTGTTTTAAAAATAAATTATAGCTAAGGAGTCAAGAAAAAAACTTCCTCCACAATAACCTATTTTTCATGCTAGCAAATCATTAGTGTGGGAAAGCATTTACACTTGCAACTTGTCATCAGACCTTCTGTACTTGGTTGCTTTTTCTCTTTAATAAAACAAAAATTACTGAGCTTGGAAAATACATCTTTCCAACTGCAAACATATTTAGGACAGGGCAAGCTGTTTGAAATTATACCAACAGTTTGTAAATGTCATGCCCAACGTGTCAGCCAGCATGCAGCAGTTGGGTCTTGTCGACTTCGGGGTTTTGTAGAATTATTTATAGCACATTTTCTCTATTTCCAAAGCCTTTTCCAGAGGAACTGTACTCCCCTAGATGTGTGTGTTTCTAAACATTTTTCCTATTAGCACAGTTTGACCACAGTATGCTCAAAGCCTTTTCTTGTCCCTGGGAGACCATTTTAACACATGGGTCAAAAGTTCCACCCAAGAACCTTCGCCAGATAACCAACTCATTCAATCTTCATCTTGAATATATTAAGTCATTTCCAATACCGAATGGTTTAACACAGTTGCCTGCGTCGCATGGATCAGAAAGGCTACTGAAAATAACTTTCTATTTGCTTGAACACTTAGATTTTAAAATAAGAATGTATGTGAATGTGGGAGGACAGGGGGCAGGAAGGAGGGAGAAAGAAGGCAGCCCAACTAATAATGTTATGTTAGTAAACATTTATATGTCAGTAAAATTCTTCAGCTTCTATGACAAGCATGGTTACACTGGAATAAACAGAGGGAGGAAGGACTATGTGTCACTGCCATCTGGAAATAACCCACTAAGACGTGAAAAGTTAAGGACAAGCAAAAAGGAAGCATGTGAAGTGTAAACCAGGTGAACTGGTAGGAGACACCTGGCGTGAAGCTTGAGCCAAGCACTGGAAGACTTCTTCACTGGGAAGACTCGTTCAACTGGTTTCTGCCTGCCCGATAAACAATGCTTATTTGATAGTCTTGCCAAGACAGTCCTCCTAGAAGAGTTCTTGTCACTCAAGATTGAAAGATTAGATAACACTGGTTGGAACAACAGGATATTATTTCAAAGCAAAGCTGGGCTTCGTTTGATTCCTTTTTGTTTGATGCTTATGAAAGTTGCTCACGTCGAAGGCACCCACCCACTTGTGTGTCAGGTCCAGGATGCTCTGCCTCGTCACTCCTGGGAGAATGATGCCATCTAGCGGAGGAGTGGCCAGTTCTTCTTCTGTCAATTAGAAATCGGAAGAATTTCAAACTTTAACTGTATCAACCATACCCTTTATCAACAGCCATTAAAACAAAAAAAATTACTCTCATAATTTTGCTGGTAATAAACATGAAAATGACATGACTGTTCTGCATTGTCAAACTGCCCACATCAATTCACTCTTCAGGTAAATCCTTACATTTGGGGGAAGAAAAGAAAGAAGAAGGAAAAGAAAGGAAATCAGTCAGCTAACCATCTTTAATTTATCCTGAACCAGGAAAAACATGAGATGGCTATCCACTAACAAACAGCAAGAGTTATAAAATATTCTTAAGAGGAACATTCCAAAGTCAAAATGTACCTTCGTGGTTAAAGCTGGTTAATAATTAGAAAAATGTAGTGGGGAGGGTATGGGGCTGTCAAGTGGTAGAGCGCATGCTTAGCATGCACAAGGTCCTGGGTTCAAGCCCCAGTACCCCCACCAAAAAACTAATTAAATAAATAAACACAATTACATCCCCTTGAAAGACAGAAGGGAGGGAAGGGAAGGGGCAGGGAGGGAAGGCGAGGAAAAGAAGAACGTAGACAGACCCTTACTGAGAAACACAGGGCATTACCGAACCTTCTAAGAATACTGTGGAGAAACCCAGCCCTAAGAAGGGTGCGTGCCTCAGGCTGGTCCCTGTTCCCACTCTGGCCTTTGACAAGTCTACCCAGAGTGCTTTTCAGACCCGGTGGAGTACCCACATCAAAAATGGAGATGCTGGCTTCACCCTCTGAGACTCAGATGCAACACGCTCAGGGTGGGGTCGAGCATGTACGTGGCTAACAAAGGAAAAATGAAAGAAGGAAAGAAAGAAATCCAAAACACAGACCAGAACTCCACGGCTGACTCAGATGAGAGCCAAGGCCGAGACAGTGGGCTACTATGAGAATGACCTCAGGCCCTCCTAACCATGGCGAGGGCTGGCATGGTCAGCTGTCCACAAGAGTCACTGTGGTCCGCCAGCCACGGAAGCCTCCTCACACAGGGTGCCTCTGGTACTTAACATCCCCCCTCCTCCTCAGCTGGCACCCAGGATTCTGAATCTAGGGAGAAATTCGAACCTTAAACCATCTCTTTATATAGATGTTGAAACCTGTAACAGATGGTGTATCACCAATCATGTGTCTACAGAGGAATTCTCCCAGGGTAGGCTGGAAAGGATCAAGCTGTGTAGCATCACACTGTCTTTGAGTTCCAGGGCTGTTTTTGCAGCTAAAAAGGACTTCAGAAGTCACCTGGCGCAGCCCTCATTTTATAGAAAAAGAAACTGAGGCCCTAAAACTTGAGTTATTTGCCAAGGTTGGTTGACACTGGGGAGAGTCAGGACCAGAGCTTAGGTCTCTCAGCACTGGGGCCACTTCAGTTTCTCTTCCTATATTGTGGTCTGGGCTCACTCACCCCACTGTGAACACATCAGACGTCCCCAACAACAAAGCTATCTGGAAGACCAAGATCTATATTTGTTCCTGTGTCCCCAAAACTCAGCAACCTATCTGGCCCAGAGTGGTACGTAATAAATATGTTTGAACTTAAAAAAGAAGAAGAAGAGAAGAGTCCTCTTTTGCTAGGATAGAGCAGCATGACTTCTTTGAATTTTGTTTCTAAAAATCATCTGCTGAAAACCACTTTCTGGAAAGAAGAAAATTTGTTCTTGGCAACGTTCTTAGGGCTACTTTGTGTCGTGTTTAGCAGGATTGATCTCAAAACAAACGTGTTTTGCAGTAGCTAGCTAGCTAGATCGATAAACGTACGGGTCTCTATGTGTATGCATAAATGCATAAACACACCACACGCAGAGACAAACACTTTCCGTGCCCCGAAACCGGACCTCTCCTAACGCTTACTGAGCTCTGGGACTGCAATAAAGTTAAATGAAAACAGCAGCCCCGCCATGTGCAAACGCAGGTTTGTGAAATATATTTAACACCCAAAGCTGTAACCACTAGCCTGAGGTCAAGGAACAGAACATCTGCTTCTCTGGTTCCCAGACAGCGATGATGACACGACAACATTTGGGTGAGAAATATTCATTTTCCTCTGCAACCACAAACATGCTTACCAGAGCCAGCCCTAGCTCCAGACTGCCCAAAAGGAGGGAAACAGAGCCTACGAACGCAGCTTGTTTTTGACAGAGAGATCATTTGTAGAGGATGAATTCAGAGGCAATCACAGCAGGAGTCATCTGAGACTTCCCAAGTTCAAGCACTAATGGGAACCAGGAATGTGGGTTTGCGTTAAGTGTCCCAAATGCCATCAGTATGATTATTCATTTGTTTCAACAACATATACTGAGCGCCTACCACATGCCTTTGGCCGTTCTAAGCACTATGGATACAGCAGTGAACTCCCTGCTTACTTTCCAATAGGCAGAGGCAAACAATTATGTTAAATACTATGTTAGATGATGGAGCAGGGAAAAAGTGATGGAGAGTGCTGGGGGAGAGTTTAGAATATTGAGGTGTCCAAGGAAAGCCTCACTGAGAATGGGATGGGATACGCGGCAAAGACTTCAAGGAGGGGAGGGGACAGCCACACAGGAAAGTTGGTATCAATGCCCCCCAAACTAACTGCGAACTCAGCCACCACAACTGGGGCTCATCCTCGGGGAGCTCTGTTGTTCAGTACAAGATAAAAGTGTTCTGGGGGAAGGGGATAGCTCAGTGGTAGAGCGCGTGCTTAGCATGCACGAGGTCCTGGGTTCAATCCCCAGTACCTCCATCAAAAAACAAAATAAATAAAACCTAATTACCACCCCCTGCAAAAAAAAAAAAACTAAAAATGTTTTTCCGACCATGAAGAGCAAGTGTGTGTGTTCAATTAATCATCAACGGAATAAAAACGGAGAATTCAGGGCTGTGTGATCTTACCACACCAGGGTTGCTGTTACTGGAATCAAAAGCCACACGAATTACAGGCCAAGTACCACAAAACAGTGTACAGCCCTGCACAGCCATCCTGTCCCCAGAGGAGCAGGGAGAGGGGGCGCTCATTTGGGGGAGGGTGGATTACTCCTGAAAGAACTCTGCTTATACCTCCAGTTGGTAAAGTTCGGGGAGGGGGAGGGAAATCAATACTTTACTGATTTTTTCAACTCATTATTCTTTGCATTTTCCTCACACCGCATGGTATAAATCAAAGTTACTGGAGTTCATTCAATGTCTTTTTTTCTTTTTTTTTAAGCCCGAAAGTTATTCTTGACATTCTACTTACTTCTCTCACACTACTGTTCAAACATTTATTCCATTTCCTTTCTCCCTCCTTCAGATTTTATCTGATCTGTCAGGTGAACACCCTCAAACTAAAGGAGTTTATTCACAGTAAAATTAAAGTTATCTCAGGCAACCATAGCCTGAATAGTAACTCTTAAGGTCTGGTATATTTTGTAAGAGTCAGAAGACAAATTCATTCCTTTCTGTTCTGTTCCACCTCCCATGGTGGAAATGGTTCATGATTATTGTTTGGATAAGGGGTAATTTTTCACCAGGACAGTTCCCAGTGTTTCTGGTTAAATCATGTGGTTCTGATTCAGACTGCTTAAATCCTGACCTCTCCCATCCATAAATAAGGATGGTGCCACTTCTGTGTGATGTAACTGGTTTTGTTTGGGGTTGTATGTGGTTGTTTTTGGGAGGGTGGGGAGTGGGGATGGCAGTGGGCAGGTGGAAAGAGTGAGTTGAATTAATTTATCATCTCCTAAGTGCAGAGTTCAGCACTAGCTGAATGGAAGAATGAGCATGATCTATATATTTGCATGTGCCAAGGATTACCCACGGTTAACCCCCAGGACGAGGTGTACTCACCACACCTTCTGTTTATTCTAACACTGACTGGAATTTAAGGCTCATCTTAAAACTCTCTGCAAGTCATGCTCAAATTAGCTCTGAAGTCAGCCACATCTGAATCACCATTTTCCTCTATTTGTAGCCAAATAACAAAAGGAGCAACAGAGGCTACTGTTGCTGCTTCAGGATGAAAACTTCATAGAAAATTTTAATTAAAACCAGTTCCAAGACTTCGTAAGTATTTGGAAACATATTTTTTAATAGGTTGACTTTTTTTTCCCCCTTAATTAAAAAAATTTTTTTTCGAGGGGGGAGGAAATTAGCTTTATTTATTTATTCTTAGAGGAGGTACTGGGGATTGAACCCACGACCTCATGCATGCTGGGCATGTGCTCTAGTGCTTCAGCTATATCCTTCCCTCCTCCCCTGGAAACTTATCATTTTACATTTCTAGTTGTTACACTAAATATTGTGAAATGAACAGACTAAGAATGTAAACAAGCCATAAAAATGGTTTTAAATGTTTTGACTATTGAAATTCTAATGCAAATAAATGCATATATTTGTATTTTTCTCCTCCATTAATGGGAAAAATATCATTCAATCCAATACCACAGACATTGCCAAAATGTCACTGAACCCCTGTGGTCTCTGCCAACTTAAAAAAAAAAGAAGAAGAAGAAGAACAGCAAAGAGGGATAAAAATGAGCATGCAAGGATATCAAGGGTAATAAAGTACTGATTTTTATAGTAGGCATATAATATTGAATGAACCAATCTAAACACAATTTCCAAATAGACTGATTTGTCCTTAAAAATGTGTTCTTTATTTAAATTGAGCTCCAGAGTAAACCTGGAAGGTTTCTAATGTACTATCAAAATATGTAGGAAGAGCATCGACTGCTAAATGAATTACAGTGAGAGAGTACACCAAATTTCCTATCAGTAGAAACAGTAGACGATGTTGGTTACTACAGCATTTTATACACCATATGTGGTGACAAGACCACTGAACTGATGATCTGAAACCCACCTCCAAATGTACGGGATTTCAGAAAGGAAAAATGGAAAGAAGATGGCAAGGGGGATAAGGCAGCACATCTTCAAAATGTGGAGATTTAAATTCCTTAAGTTGACATCTCAATAGTAAGCATATCTAAAGCCAAAAAAAAAAACCGAAAAACCAAGTAAACTTCAACTCATGGTCACCTGGACAGCAAAAGCACAAAAGTTCTTAGATCTTTGGAAATTGTGCTACTTATTCTCTTGTTCTAAGGTTCTAGTTCTTTTCTTTCCAGTCTCACTGAAAAGGACTGAAAAATAGCAAAGAGCTGAAATCTGAGTAGATTACCTCCATCTTCATTTATCCAGTAAAGAAAAAGATTCATAGTTCCAACTTCAGTTATCTGATTATCCTCTCCATAGAGCCACAGAACCTGCTGACACCCGTTATCCACTGCTTCACACTGGGCAAAAAGAGACGAGCCATAATTCCTTTTAAGAAAGAGGAAATACACTGATTATGAATGTATCTCAGCCCCTCAGCGCCCACCTCCTATTAAGTCTTTCATTCATGTGTGGATGTAGGCAACATACTACATTCTTAGTATAAATACTCTAGTTAACTGCATAATATTAAAGGAAACATTATATTCACATGTGGATGTAGTCAACGCACTATGTTCTTAATATATATACATTCTACTTAACTGCATAGCATTAGAAAACCTGAATGGTCTAAGGAGGGAGGGTATAGCTCAAGTGGTAGGCTGCCTGCCTAGCATGCCTGAGGTCCTGGGTTCAATCCCCAATACCTCCACTGAAAAATCAAATAAATAAATAAACCTAATTACCTCCCCCTGCCAAAAAAAATTAAAGGAAAAAAGAAAGAAAACCTGAATGGTTTAAATGCACTCATCTAAGAGAGAGCAAAGAAAAACTGTGAAATCCTGACTTGAAAAGTAGATACAGGCAAAGAGCCAGGTTAACATTTAAAGGTTATCAAGTTTACATGAATTATTTCATTTAAACCCCACCAACACTATGAGTTAAGTCACATTGTTATTTTCACGGTTCAGATGAGAAACTGAGGTTTAGAGAAGTAACTTATACCAAGTTACAGCAATCAGTTAGCAGAGCACCAGTCCTGTGCGCTCTTAACTGAGACCTTTCAATACAACCAAGAAATGCCTAATGCCCAAGGTCTAAATTCCCTAAAAGGTGAGACAAGATGTTAAAAATCCTGACTTTAATTAAAAAGTATTCCAAAAAGCCTATTTTTCTCAACCAGCACTATTCACCTTGGATTATTCAAAATCAAAGGAACATGGCCTATCTTCCTGGAATGACAGTGCAGTATAGTCAGTTTTATTAATTAACTAATTACTTGGAGAAGTTTAAGTAAACATGGTAGGCGAGCAATTTCCTCTGTGACCCATAGTGTAAGATACAACTGATATTTACCACCCCACCCCACCCCTGAAAAAGGGCACATGGAGAATAAATTCAAACTCAAGAGAGAAGAGATTTAAATATCTTGGAACTGTCTTTTTTAAAGAAGACATATCTTGAGAAATGGTCTATTATTTGTAAGGAAAACTGACTTCTAAATTAAACAGAAATACTAATGTTTTTTATACCTTAAAATTTCATTTGGCATGGGGAGATTCACTCATGACCATGCCTCGCTCTCTCACTGTCCTCATTAATTCCAACTCTATGTTGCCTTAGGAGAAAAGGAAGTAACATTTTAAATTTATCTTTTATTAAACTTAAATGGGAAAATTTTGGATTATAATACAAAATATGCACCAATGTTTTAAATAAAACATGAGAGTCCTCAAATAAATGTGATGCATGCTTGCCTTCCTAAGCTCCTGGTTGTATAATTCACTTTCCTTGGCTTCCAGAGGACAATTAGCGAACAAGTTTGAGAAGCACTTCCATCCAACAATCGGGGCTAGGAAATAAACCCTAGACCCATCCTTGGACTGTGAAGCCCCCAGAAGTACACAGAAACAAACAATCAAACATACGACAATAACTATTATGAAGCATTAATGTTACCCTCCACAAAACTACACACCTAGGTCCTTTAAATGATCTCTTCTACATCTGGGCAAGATTAAAACATGTAGTATTGTCTAAGTCAAGGTGTAAGTTACATAAAAGATCATAGATCATAGTGGCTATCGGCCATCCTCATCTGCACAGCTTCTCTGCCCACTCTGTTCCCTTTGCTCTTCCCATGGAGCCAAGTCCTTCTGCTTGGGTGGACAATCGTAGCATCTTGCCCTGCCACAACTGAATAAAAGGGTGGGCATGTCACTAAGCTGCTTCTAAGTTCTTCCTCAAGCTCATTCACTCATTCATTTTAATGCATGAAACCTGAAAGACATATGGCCTCCCTTTAGGAGCAGCAGTAGCTTGTTTGCTATGGGATGTAAGCCTGGGTCTATGTGTCCACGATTACCAGCCTTCAAAGGAGAAGGCATCTGAAGTGAGAGAGACCTAGGCTAACACAGAGACAGAAGCCATGACAAGAGATGGAGGGAGAAGGGAAAGAGAGAGAAAGGGAGGGAAGAGAAGGATTGGAAGTGGTGTGGGTTGGACACAGCCAAGGGCTAAAGAAACCTGGTAACAATGACTTGAGCCCCTAGCTGGTCCACTGCTACCATCCTACTGACATGAGCCAATCAATCCCTTCTCTGCTTAAAATGGTTTGAGCTGGGCCTTTTGACTTGTAACTCAAAGACTACTGGCTAATAACTGAAATATTTTAGAAAACTATGGGATATAGGCCTTGTAGAATACGGCCACTGCAATCTGAGGCATGAGGTTTACTCACACCAACATAGTGTTAAGATTCATTAAAAAGACCCTCCAAATGTATACGTCATAACACAGATAATAAAATGTAAATTACCCGTCAATTTGGAAATGACACAATTCTGAAATACAGGAGGCTTTCATTTTCAATGGCCATTAACTGTCAAAGCACCCATATTCAGAACTGACAGCAAATAGGCAAAACCTGGGTTAAGTTGTAAATAACTTTTTAATGAGTATAAACCATTCTGCAGGGGGGAGTCTGATAGAAAGAGCATGGGTTTGGGGCCAGCAGGCCCAGAAGCAACTTTTATTTCTGCTACTGGATTATAAATGAACTTAAGCAAAGTCAGTTCATATTTTTGCTTCACTGAATTAATTTGGCAAATCAAAGTACTTGTTTTATATACTGCATAAGGTTGTCTGGCAAAAGTAAAAAAGTAGAAGTTAAGAAACAGGTTATTTACACCTGTTATACTCTAATGAAATTAAAAACAAAACAAAACAAAACAAAACAAAAATGACTATTTAACTGACTTTTCTCTAGTTCATAGGATAAAATTGAGATTTTACCATATCTGAAAATACAGAACCAATTTCTCTCGTAAGTATAATGTCCGTTGGTCTATTCAAAAACAAAGAGAATTTTCATAGTGTGGAATACCTAGCCTTTTAAAGAAACTTCTAAAAACAAAACACACGCTTTTGAGAGTATGGCTGAATCAGAACTACGGTTCCCAGCATCATAAAGCTACTTGGGCAGGAAAAAGAATTAAAGTCCTCGGCTGCTTCAGTGCATTGAAAGGAAAAGGGATTTTTATTTGTTTGGTGTTTAATTGATTGCTATATTCTACAGGTGGTGTTTTTCCCCAAACTCAAATGTGTACCAAAATTCTCTCTCAGGTATAAACTGTATTATTAATGACCGCAGGGTAATGGATACGTTGGTAATAATACATTTGGGTTTCCTCCCACATTCTGCCAATATTCAGAAGAGAAACACATGTCCTTAGAGGAAAGAGAAAAATGAAAATGTGGGAAAACTCCTTCCGTGGAAAATTTTAAATAGAAATTTCAAATAGAATCTGGGAGACTAGAAATATTAAATACATCTCTCCAAAAGAGGAAATTCTGTTGTGTGAAATCCAACTGATTGCTCCTAAGATAAAAAAGATTAAGAAGATTAAACAAGAAAGGAAGAGAATCCGACAATATAAACTATTGTCTGCTGAGAGGGTATCACCTACCGGGCAGGGTACTAAATACTTAACCCTAATATTTCCTTGAATCTTCTTAACACAACCCTAGACTTTATTATACTTGTAGGAAAAGAGGACTCAACTGCACAAGATCACACAGATGTAAGTACATGGCTTCCAGATTATCTGATTCCCAAAGTCATGCCCGTAAGTTCTAACACCACACTAACTGCGAGCCCCCTGTATGCCAGCCAGGGTCCAAGGCACTTTATATTACCCGCCTTCATCCTCACAGGTAAGGTGGGCACTATTATCCTGACTTTATAAATGAGGAAACGGAGGCTTAGAGAAGTAACAAGCCCAAGGCAGTTAGGTTTTTTAAGCCAGGTCTTTTTGGCTTCACAGCTTACACTCAAATGCAAAATGATAATATAAGGGGGAAAAAAAAAAGAAAAATTAAGATGGAGAGAGGGAGAGGCCTGAATTAGTCCAAATTAACTAAAAACTAAGAACCTGCCTGGGAATAAAGATGTTCCTATGATGAAAGAGCGACTTCTAGCTCAGGGCTTCTCAACGTTAGCTGTACAACAGATAAATTTGGATGCTCAGGCTATCTGCCGGGCCAACTCCTAAACCAGCATCTCTTGGGGCGGGGGGTGAGGGGGTGGACCCAGGCAACACTCAGTGGCAAAGCTCCCCAAGTGACTTCAATTCGCAAGCACAGGTGAGAACCGCTGTGCTAAAGCTCTTATTCAGCCGGGTGCCTTCATACTGCTTTTCTCACTAACGTGTGTTTAGAAATAAAAGGACAATAGGACCCCTGATGGCTTCAAAACAGCGAAATCATCTTAGGATTTAAAATGTACATATATATATATATATTCTCTTCACATTCACTTAGACAGGAAGCAGAAAGTTCTTGAGCTTATTTGATGAATAGCAATTGACTACAGATGTGCTAAAAGAGGCTTGAAAGGTAACTACTGAATTAATTAGGTTTAGCACGGAGCAATGGCACACGAATCTCAGGTTGCCGCCAAACATCCTTGTCAGCTAAACCAGCTGATAGTCAATGCAAGATCATCTGCTGCCCTCGGACTCCTCCCGGCTGCAAGTACAGGAGAGAACTTTAGAACTTCCTGCAAACAACAGGCAGATGAGCACAAAGTCCTTTCTTTGGTGACTGCCTGCCTTCCTGCCATTTTTGCTTTTACTCGTGAAATCCAATATTCTCTTCTCTAAGAGATCTCAAGTCAACCTCCAGTGATCATGGTCCACCTGAGCCTAACAAGGCAAACTACTAATTCACTTTATAACTGACTTTATTTGTTAGAGCAGTTTCAGGTTTACAGAAACTGGGCAGAAAGCAGAGCTCCCATCTACCGTTCCCCCACCTTCCCACGTTCAGAGTCTCCTATTATCACCATCTTGCATTAGTGTGGTGTGCTTCTTACACACTAGTTGTTCATAGTAACACTGGGGTTCACTTTTTGTGTTCTATATAAGAAAATATTAATTTTGCGTGTGTTATATAGAAAGTATTAATTTTGTGTGTGTTATATAGAAAATATTAATTTTTATTGCCCTAGAGTGATCATGCATCCTGTGAGACTCCATTATTATTCTGTTCAGAACAAATAACAACCTACCCAGATACCCAACTAAAGATTTCCCTGCAATTTCTCCACATCCCTGTGTTATCTTTTCCCTAGGCAGGTAGGGGGAGCTAGAAAGCAAGATCTAAAGAAGAAAAACTTTTAAACGATTCTCTCTCCGTCAAGACTTGCTTTACTGCAGCGTGCACTCTACGAGAAGTTTCAGCAGTGACAGAGATGGCATGCGTGTGCATCCGCTGCGTGAAGAAGTCTGAACCAGTGAAAAAGACTTTCTTGATGAGAACACACAAAAGTAGTTTTCCACCTGACCAGCCTCGGACCTGGTCAGGAAGGAGTGCTCTAGAGCAGAAGGGAAAAAGGGACTAAGTATCATGGGCTCCATCAGGATTTTTCTAGCCCACTGAGGGAATGCAGTCGCTGAAACTGCCAGCAGGGATGACACGACAGAGAATTTTACCACCGGGCTTGCTTTTGGTAGAAAAGACAGAAAGACAGAAAGACTACGGAGGGGTCAAAGCCAGCTGTCAGTGTCTCCCTCGCATCCCACCAGCGCAGCATTCAACCCTCCCAGGGCTCCATGAATCTACGTTTTGTACCAGGGCCCAGAAGACTGCCACCGAGTCACCTTGCAGGCCCTGCTGCTGCCCGGGGTGGTGACATACACAAAGGAAGAGCCGTGCTGGCTAATCCGGCTATTCTTGCTCACCCGTGGGGGCTTCCCGATTCCCGGCCAAGTCCACCCCTGAAACTGTCTAACACTTTCAAACGCTCTCTGCTTCCCAGCCAGCTACATATGGCCTATGAGACTGGCCTGACCGCGCCAAGGCCGGGCTGTCCCTCAGCCAGCTGGCAGCAGGTACGGGCACGGTCTGTGGCGATGAAGACAGCCCTTCAGCGAAGCAGGCACCTTCCCCAGACAGGACTCCTTGGAGCCAGCTGAGAGCCTCGGCCCCAGCACCAGCTGCTCTTTCGCCAACCGTCAGCCTGCAGCCAGGGACCAGCAGCGGGGGGCGGCTCGTTCAAAGCGCTGCTTTTCTTCCTGGTTTGGTGGCATCAGTTCTTGTGTGTCTGAAACACTCGATGTTTCGCCCTTATAATAAGGAGCCACAGAGGTTATCCTTTAAACCACTCGCACATTGAAAACACTGAGGCCCAAGCACAGGACAAAACCGAGCCTCCCAGCGTGAATGCTAAGGTGTGTGCTCGTGTTGAAGTGACGTGGTCACGACGACTCTTTCCTTTAGACAGAAACACGGACTGACTTACCCTCCCATCTTGCAGTCCCCAGTCCCACCTTTCCAGGCTCTTACAAACTTCGGATTGGCCCACAGGGACACTGGATTAAAGCTTCCGCTTGAAAAATAAGGTCCCACTGGGCTCAAGATTACAAAGAGCAGGGCTTTGGTAGGCTTCTTGACTCCCAGAGAAGGCTGTAATAAAGTAAAAGCACACACAGCGGTTCATTTAAAACGCAGACACCAGTCTCCAAGTCTAGAACAGATCTGTAACCACCTCCCAGAAGGGGCCACGTAAGGACAGCCGCTCCTTCTAAAGCCCAGTTACACAAAGCTTGATGGTCTTTCCCTTCTACGAAGAAAACACCGAGAATGGGGTGCTTCAGTTTTCACTTTGCTTTACCGGGTTATCATTTTAAAAGTAAAGCAACTTTGTCGATTTCTCTTATTAGCAGGCTTTTTAGAGGAGAAGTATATTTTTGACAACTGGCCACGCATTAACCTCTTTCAATGTTGCACTGATTGGGAGTTGAAAAAGGGAAGAACCCAGACATGTCGCTGGCAGGGGAAAACCTAAGATTTGCTTCTCTGACCGCATCGGGACACACCAGGGCCCCCCGCAGATGTGGGCTTAGGGGAGTGTGCCAGAGCACATGTCACTGTGGCAGACACCAGGCAGCAACAGCGTAGCTTCACTAGAGGCAAAGACAGCAGACAAGAGAAATCCTTCCCCGCAAAAAAGACAGAGGACGAAGGACTCAGGAATTTGTGTCAAGAATGACAGAGAGAAAATGGCCTTTCCTACAAACACTGGAAAATCACACGCCAACAATGCAAAATCATACAAATTCTTCCAGCACAAAAGTAGTTATAAGGAATTAACTGTCAGCTGTTTTTTAAAGAGGGATATTGATAGGCTGAAAAGTTTTGAGGGCTAAATACCAGAAAGGCAAAAAAAGTCACTGGGCTACTCTGTGCAGTTCAGGACAAAACCACACGAGTTAAAAAACAAGTCAGGACTGATCCACCAAATGTCTTGGGATGTAAGATGCGTGTTCAGTCTTCACTAGAGCCTGGTCTGTCTGGACGGGGCCAGTTGTGGGTCACAGAAGGGAGAGGAGACTGAATTCCAGCTGATAGTGAAACTGGTTGAATGTGGACCTGGGGATAGATTTTTTCCTCTGAATTGTATCCCTTCTTCCACTACCTATTAGCTGAAGGCTCCTCACCCTACTTACTCCCAGGCTATCAAGAATCAGGTAGGTAAAACATTTGTGAGCATAAAACAGCATGCTTGTGTATGTGCACACTGATGCCATCAGCAAGGCTGGTGGACCCTGGGAAATGGGAAGCTGAGTCCACCTGCACTCATGCAGTGAACACGGGACCACACAGGGCTCGGCCGGCCAGAGCAAATGGCTGATCTGTGACAGATAACCAAGTTAAAGAAATTAGCCGGCAAGCGACAATAGATTTGGGGTTTTTTTCTCATTCCTGTTCTTTACTGGGGGTTGAAGAGGTCATCCCCACAAAGGAAGAGTCAGGAGCCTTCAACTCCATTTGCTTTTCTTGGTTTCATTATTTGGAAAAGAAAACCTAAGGGTAACACACACATCTTTGATAAAAATGTGATAAAAACTGACTATCTTATCTCTGCACTTTCATTTACCTACCAGTTAAGTAAATATACATCATGTCAGGAGTGCTTTGAAGCTTAAAACTTAAAAAAAATTAACCATTGTAATGACAAATTAAGCGTCTTAACAGAATTTAGAAATATAATATACAGGACACAGTCTCACAATGTACCTAGCTTTTCATTTTCTAAATAAAACAGCCTATTTATGGTCAAGCTGACAAGCATTTTATTAGCTACCACACGAATGCCTGGACACATGTATTTTCTTTTGCAACCTGCACTCTGTTAAAAAAAAGTAATTATATCTCATCATCATGGAATTTTTTTTGAGATTAAATTTCATCCCATTCATTTCCTTCCTTGATTTTAACTGAGAGGTAAACTTGCATTTATTCCACTAGGTGGGAGTAGAGAGAGCACAGATGGAAAACGGAGTAACGAGCATTAAACCTATTCCAGAAAAGATTACCCTGATAAACCTTTAAGTCACACTTTAGTTCTTATTAGCAAGCAGGCAAATTACAGACTAGAATTTTTCAGTGCTGAGAGAAAATTGTTCATGTGCACTAACATTTTATTTTCTGAAATTTAAGCAAGGTCAAACTCGTGTTTTACCTGTATTTCAAGTACTAGTGTTCACCTTCATCCTTAATGATTATTTATATCGAATGTCTTTTCATGAAAAGAGCTCTGTGACTTTACTGAGAAGGGTCACACTGCTTTCATGAGTGAGAATAAATCAAATGTAACTTTACGGATCAGGAAGGGAACTTGGCAACTGGGTCTGTTTCTACCCTCAAGAACTATTATTTGTTCTTAGTCTGAATTCTCCCTTCTTTCCTGGAAAGCAATTTAAATTCTGTGCTACTGCTGTAGTTAAGAGTAGTCAATAGTATAATATTAACCCAACGGCAATGAACAAAATTCTATGATGACCAGGTCAGGCTTCTGATTAAATAAAACAAAAGCCGCATAAATAAAAATACGGACAATAACAACTGATAAGTTATGTAGATCAGTTCCAAAGTCTTATTTTGATCAATTTTTAAAAACTCTTCTCTAACAGTTTCTTGGATTATTTCAATACATAAAGAATTGATAGGGGTTTTAAGAAACGCCACAGAAAACGAGGAATATAAAATCTCAGATGCGAAGTTGACATTGAAGTTGAAATTCTGATGTGTTCAAAAAAACAGACTCTACTTTTTAAGTTACATCTCACTAATAGTAAATAACAAAAAATATATATGGGTATTAAATATGCATATGTTTTGCACAGAATACCAGGACACCTGGGTGTGATGGAATACAGACATTTCACAGCGTAATTACC